AGATAATTTAAATAATGATTAGCTGCTGTTAATAAGTACAGAGAGCTGTGAGAGCAGAAAACGTTTAGTAAAAAGTCCTCAGCACACACACACACCCCCATCCCAGGAATATCTGAGCTTTTTGCCAGTGAGACGGGCAGGACCCATAGGTGTTAGAAGCCTAGGCCCAGAAGCTGCTGCATCCACAGAGGTGCAGTCTTTCTCTCACCTGACATCTGCTACCATGTGGGGCATCTGGCTCACTTCCCACCTTGGATCCAACTTCAGCAGCCAACTTATCTTAGTAGGATTTGGCTGCTCTTGGCCTTGCTGGGGGTTAGGTCTTCCCAGCTATGGGCCAGAACACCTCCAGAGACTGATGCATTTGAGCCCATCAACAGGGTTTTAAAAATCTAGGTGCATGTACGAAACAAGTCAGAAAACTTTCCTGTGCTCCTTAAGGATGGAATACCAACTTCCACTGCAAGAGAAGCCTCAGCTGCAGGGGCACTTAAACCCTTCTATTTCACCTGGGCAAAGAGACAAGTGCCAAGATTCTTGGTTCACCAGTAATGTTTCTGGGGCCTCAAGGTTCAACTCAGTGGGGGAACACTTAGTATCTATTACATGGCCCAAATCACAGGGGGCCTGCAATCCAAGCAGGTACAGAAGCTGCATGCGGTACAGTATGCCCTATAATCCCAGCTGCTAGGGAGGCTGCGATAAGATCATGAGTTCAAGGTCAGCCTGGGCAACATCATGAAACTCCATCTCAAAAAAAATTTTTTAATAACCAGGTAGAGAATCAGTCCTAGATTTGGAAGGAAAACTTCCAAGGCACCTACTCCAGCCTTCACACAAAGGAAGAAGTGTCTCTGTAAGAAGCCTGTTGTCCTTAACCTTTTAGCTATTTCTAAATGAATCACATTTATGCTAACAAATGATTCAAGTAATTGAATTGGCAGTGAGGTAGCCAAACTCTCATAGGGGAAGATTTATTTGGAAAGGTAACATAACTGGAAATCAAACTACTAATACAAAATAGACAGAAACACCTTTCCAAGGCATGCTAGAATTAAGATGGTCATGAATTACCTTTTTAAGTAGGTAGCGCTGGCTTAACTTAGCACTTTCAACCTGATGGGTCTGGTGTGCAGATCTGGAGAATTCAGGGCATGAGAGTGCTAGAGTCCCCCTCCTGCAGAGTTCGCCTTCTGGTCCACAAAGACTGCTGGAGTGGGCTACAATCCTTACTAGCTTAGAATGTTGGGCAAGATGCATTACCTGCCTAAATGATTTTTACTCTCTGTACAGTGGAGATAACATATACTAACAATACCTGCATGTAAGTGCTCAATAAACAGTAGCTCTGATTCTGGCACCACCCTTTTCCCAGTCAGCTCTAGTTCATTTCTCGTCCTCTGGTTTCCCACGATCAGTTGCACATATCCCAGTTCCTCAGTACAGTAGTCTCAATCACATCTGTCCCTCTAGAGCTCAAAGGTATCCTCCAGCCCACATCTCTTCACCACTCCAGGGTAGTTCCACTAGCCTCCCACATGATCTCTACTGCATCCATTCTCCTGTCAAATCACTCACCCTCATTTTCATTAAAATGAGTATTCACTGAGCAACTGTCTCTGTGTTCTAAAGCCTTCAAAGGACTTTCACTGCTTAGGATAAAGGAATGGAGGAGTGCCTGCCATGAGCCATGTGCTTACAAAGTGTTTGATAGCTTAGTCCTTTGTTAGGGTTTGCACTGAGTCCATCTTTCTCAAAGGCCTAGCTTAAACCCTTTCTTCTCTACAAGTTTTCCAGACCAGCCAAGGCCTCTGTGATTATTCTTTCCAAGCACTATAGCACACTTGGTTAGGTCAACCATATGTCAACAATATCGGGCTGGGGATTTAGCTCAGTGGTTTCGCCACCTGCTGCACAAGCACAAGGACCCATGTTCGATCCCTGGTACCAAAAACAAACAAAAAAAAACAGTATCATCCTCAGCTAAGTATTATACAGCTTTCCTCCCCATCTGTAAGCATACATGTGCTGGGAACCACCTCATCTTCTTCCTATCCCTAGCATGTGTTCCAATGCTGGCTAAATGCTGACTTAAGGGCCTCCTTCACATCCCTCCAACTGCTCTTTTCCATGGAGGCCAGTCAATCACAAAGTCCAAGTGTAAAACCTCAGGAAGAAGGAAGAAGAATCGATTTTCCACTAAAAATGAAAGAAATGGAGTCAGATCCATGGTAATAGGCCCCAGGCTGCAGTCAAACCACTCTGGCCTCATGAGACCAACATATGACAGAAGTGCTGCCAAGAGACTGGCCCACTGGAACAGAGGCAGACTCCTGAGGCTAAGCCCCAGGACACTAGGGCTGTGAAAGGACATTCCTCAGAAGCTCAGGGTACCCATGCCATTCCTCCTCCCAGCCACACACAAAGAATTTTGCAATGGAAGTTATTTAATAGACCTAGTCCAACCTGCGTAACACCAGACTCAGGACCAAGTGCTTTTTCAAAGGTCAGAGATGAAATAGAGAAGCTAAGGACTTCTAATCCCTGGCCCCCAACAGGGATCGAACTCAGGACTTTGCGCTTGCCAGGTAGGCACAGTGCCACAGAGCTAAATCCCTAGAGATAGGACTTCTAATTTTGTGGGTTAAGATACATTCCCTTCAGTTCCCTGCGACATTGCTGTCACAAAGTGAGGGCTTGGGACTGCCTTCTGGGAGTAAATGAACACAATGTGCTAGGTTGTAACTAACTGGGAGGCCCTACTTCAGGCCCATTTTGATCTTTTTCTTGCTTTCTCCTGAAGTCTATTCCTTTCCCTATACAAAGAGCTTACTGCCATCTGTAGGACACCCAATAGCATTGCTCCAAATTCCTATCTCAAGGCTGTCTTAACAGTATTGTGTTCCCATCTGCTCAGAACTGGTGTCTTAAAAGATCCTACAGGTACTGGGTGTGGTGGCACAGTCCTATAATCCCAGCACTCTGGGAGGCTAATACAAGAGGGATTGAAAATTCAAGCCCAAACTGGGTGACCTAGTGAGACCTTGTGTGGGGGGGTGGGGGGTGGCTTGGTGCAAAGGTTCAACCACTGGTGCCACCAAAAAAAAAAAAAGATCCTATGGGGCCAGGGATTTAGCTCAGTGGTTCCACCACCTGCCTCGTAAGTTAAGGACCCGAGTTCAATACCCAGTACCAAAAAAAAAAGGATCCTACAGATAGGATCTAGGGTTGACAGTGCTAAGGAATTGTGCCCAAGCTGCCTCTTTTGATACTGTTCAGAACCTATCACTATATTAAACTACATCTTGTTTCTTCTCTTGTTCCACTGCTATGATCAATCATCCTGGTGTGAATTTAAGTCAATTCAAGGTACCCCAAAGCCATACAATCATTTCTAACTCAGAGACTATAAATAATGATCATTCATTAGCTTCTGATTGGAAAAGTAATCATTATATAGTAGGGATGGCAAACCTTTTAGAGCTTTCAATGGGACAAACAGCATGCTGAAGGGCTGGGGATTTAGCTCAGTGGTTCCACCGCCTGCCTCACAAGTGCAAGGTCCCAAGTTGGATCCCTGGTACCAAAAAACTCCCCAAACAAACAAAAAACAACAGCCTGCTGCAGCACATGTACCACAGGATAGCCACCACTGTTATAGTATTAAGTATACACTGAAAAAAA